TAAAACAGCATTTCTAATGCAAAACTTAGTACAGTCATTTTAAATATTTTTACAGAATAATCTAAATATTTCCTAAAATTGTAATAAATGTATCTGAGCCATTACAAGTTTTGGGTCTTTTATTGGTCCTTTATAAACATAAGCTGTACAGAACAATAGAAAACGGTTTGGACAGGCCAAAAGCCCTGTGTATTAAAGATTACATAGCCGTATCTTAAGATTATTTTCAATAAGTACCTATTTGCCAATTTTGTTTTATTTTAATTCCAAGAATTTCTTACATTAATTGAATTATAAGTAGATAAATACCTTCCCAACAAATTTCACCGAAAATGCGATTATAGGTTTTCCATTTAGTAAGGAAGTCCAAGTTGTGTATTCTTGACAGTTTACTAAATGTTGTTTAGTTGCAACTTGCAAGGTGCAGTGTGAATTCTAGTGTGATCATGGAAAATTTGGAAGGGCCGCGAAAACAACAAAAAATCGGCCCTTTAACAGTTAATGAAAAAAAATTAATATTTAATTGTTTTAAATCATTTACAGACAAACATTTATGTAAAAGTGTTGATGACACAGTGGAATTAGATAGTAGTATGCTTGGTGTTGGGAAATCTACGATTTGCAGAGTTGTTAAAGAAGAAAAATGTGGCGAGTTTCAAACAGCACGTAAAGCTCCAGGAAAACCAAAATTTCAATTAGAAAATCTTTTGAAAGAAACACTTCGAAGGAAAGTGCATGTGTTCTTCTTTAGAAAAGAATTTCCGACAGTAGACAAAGTTCTTGCCAAGGTTCGAGAGGATAAGGATTACCCTGAAATGAGTCGAAGCACACTATGGAAACTTTTAGAAGAAATAGGTTTTCTATGGAAAAAGCGAAAGTCTATTTTAATAGAAAGAAGCGATATTGTAGTATGGAGAAGAAATTACCTAAGGACTATAAAAGAAATGAGAAACCAAAGAAGAAATATATTTTATTTAGATGAAACATGAATCAACGAGGGACATAAACCAAATAAATTTTGGCAAGATGAAACTGTTACAAGTCGAAGACAGGCTTTTTTAAATAATTTATCTACTGGTTTAAATCCACCATCAGGAAAGGGGCGCAGACTAATAATAGTAAACATCGGTAGTTCAAACTGTTTTGTTAAAGGTGGTTTATTGACTTTTGAATCTACTCGTACCAGTGACTACCATGAGGACATGAATGCTGATGTCTTTAAAGAGTGGTTCGAACAAATTATAGATATTCTTCCTTAGAACTGTATAATAGTAATGGATAATACAAGTTATCACTCGAGACTTATAGAAAAAATTCCCACAACCAAGTGGTTAAAAATAGATTTACAGAATTGGCTAAATTCAAAGATTATTAAGTTCCATCCCGGTTCTGTGAGAAAAGAACTGTATCATTTGTGTTCCCTTCATAAAGAGAAATTCAAAAAATATGAAATTGATGAAATTGCAAAAAATCGTGGGATGACGGTGATTAGATCACCACCATATCATTGCGAAGTAAACCGGATTGAACTGATATGGGCACAGATAAAGGGAGAAGTTTCAAGAAAAAATAATTCTTTTAAAATGAGTGATGTTAAACAGTTGTAAATAATGTGAAGCCTGAAAACTGGGAAAAGGCAGTAAATCATACGATTAAAGAAGAAGAGAAAATGTGGATGAAATGATCGAGCCACTCATTGTAAATATTGGTTGCGACAGTTCATCTTCTGATTTCGATTCTGATTTGGATTTGTAGGAAAGAAGTAGTTTTTATATTAAAATTATTATTTATGAACATAACGTAACGTAACATAACCCGTTTGACACAATGTTCTTAACATATCTTGTGGAAAAGTAAAACATTTTAGAAAAAATTGCACTTTTTTACCTTCAGCTGTTTAGAAGTTATAAGCAGGTTAATTAGGTAAAAATATAAGTGTATACTCGAGGAATAACTTCAAAAAATATTTTAACTGTCTACTAAAAGAAGTGGTGCGCCTATGGATTACGAACGCTTTATTATTTTAATACTCTCTCATACATAAAAAATAGACTATAGATAGAGCGTAAAAAGTTTAGCATTTGTACCAAATTTCACTTAGTTATCTTTAAACGTTTAGAAAATATTTACAAAAGAGTGTCATCAGGGCTTCACTTTTAACACCCTGTATCTCGGAAAAGAAACGTTTTCGGACCTATGTTTATATAAACTTTTACTCCTATTTTACGACGTAGATTATGCTGTTAAAATATGACAGTCTAATTTCGGGACACCCTGTATAGATAATTAATAATTAAAGGTAGAAACTAAAAAATTTAATAATCAATATTACATTTTTAATACCCTCTAGATTTTTCTCGGTGTGATATTTAAATAATAAATAATAATGTTGTTTTTTGGAAAACAATTGATTATTAGATATTAGAAACAATGCTTCTACTATTAATTTTTTTATTTTCAAAAATTCACTGGAAACACAGTATACTTTTTACAATAATTCTTCTGCATGATGGAAAATACAATTATACTACAAACGGTTTGTAGTCGCCATCTATTAGAATTCATGTAAAGCTTCTATAAAATTATTACAGGACTCTATATTATCATCGCCACTTTCTATCCAAGTGAAAATGCTGTGCGTGCATTCAATAACATGATTCTTTCAAATGTTCATAGATAACGCCATCATCTTAATTTAGGTAATATTACTTTAAAATATTTTAAAATTTTTAATATATCTTATTCTTTATCTATTAATTTGGTGGCTCAATTTTATGTACCAGATAACATTTAATAAATATATTTTTTTGTACGAATACATTTATAATACCTAAATATATTTTCTAACAATTCAAAATAATAGTAGTTTGTGCAACAAAAGTGGATATGATGGCCATATCTCACGAAGACGAAATTTGAGCACGACGGCGTAAGCGACGTGCACAATCGTCTGAGTGCGATGTGGACAATCCATTCGAGTTATACAATATATTTTTTCTACGACCCACTAACGAAAATTTACAAATATAAAAATATTTTAGGTTATTAAGACAAAATAACTAATTTTAAAGTAATTTATGAATTTTAATATTTTTTAAAATAAAAAAATTCGAAAAAAAAGATGAAAAGTTTTTCACCGTCCGAGAATCGAACTCCAGTACTCCGCGTGGAAGGTTAGAACGCTGACCACAGGACTATTTATTCTTTTATTTTTGTTGTTTTAATATTAATAATTAAATTGACTTAATACAGTTTTATTTAAATTAACAAATTAATTATAATTATAGACGAAATAAAAACAGAAATGCTATTATTTATCGATTCTACACAAAAATAACCCATTTTAATGCATGTTTAATTTCAATAACTAAAAATATACTGACAATTAGTTTGATAGAATTGTCACTTATTTAAAATTTTAAAAATAATAGGAGTCGATTGATCAAAATATGAACGGTGATTGGTGGATTTCATTTTTTTGCAGTGTTCTTACCATCTAGAATGGATATGAAATATATTCGTTCAGTTGAAGGCAATAGCATACTTTTTCGTTCTTTAATCTGACCTAACTCAACCTATCCTAACAAGACAATTCGGTATTGAATTTTATTTCAATACCCAATTGTCTTCATAGGCAAATTAATTCTTAAATAGATTTTTAATGGAATTTTGTTTAATATAACCCCCTCATCCCCTTCCTTAGTGACTTTGTTAATTTTTTAGGTTGTATTTTATAGTTTTTAACAATTTGGCACTAATTTAATTTCAATACCCAATTATTTTCATAGGAAAATTAATTTTTAAACAGATTTTTAATGGAATTTAATTTAATTTTACCCCCTCATCCCCATCCTAAGTGATTTTGTTAATTTTTGTAAGTTTGTATTTAATAGTTTTTAATAATTTGGCACTAATTTAATTTCAATGCCATATTGTTTTCATTTGCAAGTTAATTTTTAAATATATTTTTAATGGAATTTTATTTAATTTGACCCCCTCATCCCTTTTCTAAGTGATTTTGTTATTTTTTTTAGGTTGTATTTTATATTTATTGACAATTTGGCACTATTTTTATTTCAATATCCTGTTATCTTTGTAGAAAAATTGAATTTTTAATGAAAAGGATTTTATTTCAGTTTACTCTTTCATCCTTTTAAAAATTTAGTGGTAATTTTATTTTAATACACTGTTTTCTTCACAGAAAAATACATTTCGACGCCACTCTGGGAGTTCAGGTGTTTCCTAAACTGGCTGCTGGAAAGTAGCTGCTAACTTCACACCGGTGTTATTTTCACTCTTTGATACAAGTCCGTTTTCAGTCACTGTTACTGCAAGGTCACTAAGGAAATTTTATATACAATACAAATTTTATTTTACATGGAAGGGATGAAAGAGGAGGCAGATTTTTTATATCATAAAATGCTTCGACTTAAATAACTAAAATGGAAGTAAAATTTAATCTTCTCACAGTATAAAATATACATAAAAACTGAGTCATTAGAAATATATAAAAAAAATAAAAATATCAATATTATAAAATACATCGTTGTATAGAATATGTCAATAAAACATTTATTGATCTAACATATCCTGAATTTCTTTAAAGCTTTTATTTTTAGTTTCTGGTACCATGATTATAACGAAAATAATCGAAATTAATGAAATTCCAGCAAATAATATGAAACAGCCTGACATGCCTATCGCTTCAGATAAATAAGGAAAACCTAAAGTTACAATAAAAGCCATTGAAAGACAAACAAATGTTGATATACTAGATGCCAAAGACTTTATATTACTTGCGAAAATTTCACCGCAAATAGTTAAAGGTAGAGTTCCAAAACCAAAGTTGTAAGATGAAAAAAATAAAATCAGGCATGCAAGGGGCAACCAAAATATAACATCAGTATTGATTTTATGGAATTTGAGAAGGAAATAAGCTCCTAATAAAATTAACGATATAGAACATCCTATATTAGAAGATAGTAAAAGTACTCTTCTGCCAATTTTATCTACAGTAAAAGTTGCTACAATATTAGAAACTATTTGAAGCACACCAATAATAATAGAAGCTGTATCAGATGGTATACTAGTTCTACATTCCGCGAAAATAATTTGCATGTATCCCATTACTGCAGAAATTCCCATGAACTGTTGAAACGTCAATAAACTACATGTAATAGTCAAACCCTTTCTAGCAGCTTTAGTTGTAAATAATTCCCTCCAATTGGTTTTTTTCGCTTTGTTCTCAGCAACATGTTCTATAATTTTGGTTAATTCGCTATCAACATTTTCAGTGGTTCTTATTTTCTTTAAACATTTTTTCGCTGCTTCAATATTATTTTTTTCAACAAAGTAATAAGGACTTTCAGGTATAAAAGGAATAAACGTTATATAAAATAAGGTAATTGGTATTAACTGGAGGTAAGCGAATACTTGTATAGATACTATAGGTCCAATGGCATAGACGAAAGTGTAGCCAGAAGCTCCTAAAATCCCCATCATGCACAATAAAAATCCTCTGTTAGTATCTTCAGCTAGCTCACCAACGTAACTAGGCAGTACAGCTAAAGTGTTCCCACCGCTAATACCAATTAAAAATCTGGAAATATAATATATTGAGACTGTTTTAGCTAGAGCAATTGCGATATATCCACCCAAAAAAGGTATACTAAAAATTATCAACGTCAATTTTCTTCCTAATTTATTTGATACGAATCCGCAAAATAATGTTCCAACTACGCATCCGATTGATGGTAAAGATGCTATCCAGGATTCTTCGAATGTTGTGATTGGTCTTCCCAGGGGATTCAAAGATGGATCGTCGCTTTTTAGTTTTACTAATGCTGGTGATGACCATGACATAGCGATTCCGGTTGCCATTGTTAAAATGTTAACTATAACAAAAAAAGAATGATTGTGTTTGTGCGACTTATACAATAATAGGGAGTTCAAATTTAAACTTAATTTAAACTATGACCTTCATTATACAAGGTGTTTCATTGGTAAAGGAACTCCCTTTAACCATGGATGGAGACCACCGAGGTGCTTACAAATAACCCATACTTAATGGGTCTTTCGACCTTTATAGCCAAAATACAGGGTGTTTTATCAATTTGGCCTATTTCTTTCCAGACTCATAACTTATTAACCACCCTGTATATGTTTTTGACATTTGGCATACTTATTCACCGTAACTTAGCAAATCTAAAAAGGTATAAACAAGAAATGAAATCCAGGTCCGTCTTTACAAAAAATTAATAAATTTGTCCATCATTAAAACAACATCCTGTATGTCTGAATTTGAAATTTTTGTTTTCATATTTGAAAAGAGCACAAAAAACAGAATTCAATAATGTACATTTTATTTTTGCGCAGACGATTTTACTACTGAAATTATAAGTCCAAATTGTTATTTTTGAGCATTTTGGAGGTACAAAGTGGAAATGGACGGAGTTTTATTAATTTTATTAGGGTATATTTAAAATTATTTAAAGAAGTATATTTCTAAAAGCTACAGATATGTCAATATCTATAATTGTATGCATCTACACCATTTCAAAAAATTTCAGGTCCGGTTTTAGGGCCAAAAATTAGAATTATTTTTTTTTTCGACCGCACCCTGTATAAATTATTCCATGTAAGTTTTAATAAATAGTATGTAGGATATTAATATGAAAATAATAACATTTAAAACTAAAGGAAAAACACATAATAATAATAACACATAATAACTAATTCACTTTCACCTAAAGATTTATTTAGCTATAATTCAATTTATTCAAATTCAATTTCAATTTATTCAAATTCAAATAGTAATAAAGTACAAATAATAATAATAATATTTTAAGATTAATATAGATTACAAAAAATCTAGAATTAGCAACAAGCCTAAGCAAAAGCTGCCTGTGTTGCTTGTGCTGATTCCAAAAGATTTGAAATAAAACGTACATTTTATATTTTAGTGCCTAAGTAGGTATAAAAATAAGTAGGATACAAAATTTTTTTTAGATTGAGTACATAATGCAGAGCGAAGCAGACGAGGGTTATCCAGGAGTTATTCCAACATTTAATAAAGATAGTTAACAACAAATTTCAATTTTAAATCAGGTATAACTTACAACATTATAGCAGTAAATGTGATTTGGTTATCTATTATATAATTTTTAATATTTTGTTTGAATATAGATAGTTTACTTTTTTGTTTGAGATGTATGGGGATTAGATTGTAGAACTTGGGACCAAAGTAAAAGAAGGATCTTTGGGTTAGAGATTTTTTAAAAAGTTGAGTAGAAAGGTTCATATTTGTAGTAGAGCGAGTCAATCGAGTTTGTTTATATTGAAATAGTTCAGGACTATTATATACTTTTATGATACATTGGTAGATAAAGTTGAGGATTTCGTTTTCATTATATAATCGTATGGTAGTGAATAATTTAATATTATTTTCAAAATTGTGTTTTGTGTTACTTGCAGAGTATTAAGTGTAGTGTTAAAAGCCCCTCCCCATGCCGTAATACAGTATCTTAAAACAGATTCCACTAATGAAGAATATGTCATGATTATTTTTGTCTTAGAGAGAATATCGCGAAGTACATAAAATGTATGCATTAGAGCCCTTATTCGATTACTAACATGAGTGATATGCTCTGTCCAACGTATATATTGGTCTAGTATAACACCTAAATATTTTATGGAAGCGACTTTTTCAATAGTGGGATATATGCAATTGTTTAGCTCGCAGTTTGGGCTGTGTAGTTTAATCGGTAAGTTAATTGGCTGATTTGTAGCAGTCGGGCTGAAAGCAATAAATTTTGTTTTTTTAATATTTAATGTTAGTTTGTTATAGTTTAACCATAGTGTCACCTTAGTTAATGTAGCTTCTGTTTTGCGATGTACGTCTTCCCACGTTTTTCCGGTGAAAATTATGGCTGTATCATCGGCATAACACACAAGATGACCTTGAAAATTATTAATTTTTACTTTCCTATCTGTATACAGATATAAGGAAAGTATAGGAATCATGATTTTTTTCGACCTCGAGTTTTCGATGGATTTTTACGTTTTGAGGTCCCCTGAATCCGTTTTGACTATTTTCGCGATGATGTCTGTCTGTCTGTGTGTGTGTGTGTGTGTGTGTGTGTGTGTGTGTGTGTGTGTGTGTGTGTGTGTGTGTGTGTGTGTGTGTGTGTGTGTGTGTGTGTGTGTGTGTGTGTGTGTGTGTGTGTGTGTGTGTGTGTGTGTGTGTGTGTGTGTGTGTGTGTGTGTGTGTGTGTGTGTGTGTGTGTGTGTGTGTGTGTGTGTGTGTGTGTGTGTGTGTGTGTGTGTATGTGTGTGTGTGTGTGTTGTGTGTGTGTGTATGTGTGTATGTGTGTGTGTGTGTGTCTGTGTGTGTGTGTGTGTGTGTGTGTGTGTGTGTGTGTGTGTCTGTAGGTCGCATAACTCATGAACCGATACACAGAAAAACACCAAATTTTAAACTTAAGCTTTGTTCCAGCATCTAATGAACTGATTAGATTTTGGGCAGAGTCGGAACATCTGGGGGGGTACTTTATAGGTGGCCATTTTTATATTTTTAAGAATATCTCTGTTATTTACGTTTGGAGAAGAAAAGTCTTCAAATAAAAGTTACTTCTAATATAATTAAATTTTCCTAAAATGGTCCGTATTCGAGAAATTTGACAAAATGTAAAAAAAATATTTTTTTATAAAAATTGTTTAAATAAAAGTTGTTTGTAATATAATTCTCTATAATTTTTATTCCATACATAATTTCTCTAAAATGGACCGTATTCGAGATATTTGAGAAAATGGGAGGCCGTTTTTATATTTTATGGAATATATCTGTTATTTATGTTTGTAGAAGAAAATTGTTCAAATAAAAGTTACTTCTAATATTATTATATATAATTCTTGTTTTATACAAAATTTTCCTGAAATGGTCCGTATTCGAGAAATTTGACAAAATGTAAAAAAAAAAATATTTTTTTATAAAAATTGTTCAAATAAAAGTTGTTTATAATATAATTCTCTATAATTTTTATTTTTTACATAATTTCTCTAAAATGGACCGTATTCGAGATATTTGAGAAAATGTGTAAATTTCGAATTTTGAAGAAAACTCAAAAACGGATAAAGAAAAAAACATTAAATTTTAAACTTAAATTTTATTTCGGCCTGAAGTGAAATGATTAGATTTTGGACAAAGTCGGAACATCTGGGGGGGTATTTTATGGGAGGCCGTTTTTATATTTTATGGAATATATCTGTTATTTATGTTTGGAGAAGAAAATTGTTCAAATAAAAGTTACTTCTAATATTATTATCTATAATTTTTGTTTTATGTCAAAATTTCCTGAACTGGTCCGTATCCGAGAAATTTGACAAAATGTGCAAAATTCTGATTTTTATGAAAATTGTTGAACTAAAAGTTGTTTGCGATATCGATCTCTATAATTTTTGTTTATATATGTACATGATTTTTCTAAAATGGACCGTAATGGAAAAATTGTAGGAAAAGTGCTAAATTTAAATTTTTCAGTATTTTCGTTTTGAATGAATATCTATAGAAAAATGTTTCGAGGTAGATGTATGTGGAAAATGTATATATTTAGTTGATCCTCTAAACATTTATAGAAGTGCTGCAATAGGTTGTACAAAATAATCGGAAAAAGCCTGTAATAACTAGATAGGAAAGTCATGTGTTGGACACATCAGATTTTTATAAGGTACTTTAAAATTAGATTATATATTTACAATAGTTTACATTTCTATGTATTTATGTTCTAGGTGTAGTGTCCATGAAAATTTTTAATCTGTGTTTAAATGAGGACAGTGTTGAAGCCTTTTTCACAATTTCCGGCAAACAAAAATTTCAAATTCAGACATACAGGATGTTGTTTTAAGGATGGACGAATTTATTAATTTTTTGTAAACACGGACCTGGATTTCGTTTCTTGTTTATACCTTTTTAGATTTGTTGAGTTACGATGAATAAGTACGCTAAATGTCAAAAACATATACAGGGTGGTTAATAAGTTATGAGTCTGGAAAGAAATAGGCCAAATTTATAAAGGTCGAAAGGCTCATTAAGTATGGGTTATTTAGAAGCACCTCGGTGGTCTCCATCCATGGTTAAAGGGAGTCCCTTTACCAATTAAACACCCTATATAATCATCGGGTATTGTTAAATATAGCTTTAAAAATAATATTTGAACTTGGGATATAATTAAAAATTAAACTCATTCTTTGTATAACCCGCCATTACAATTTTAAAATCGTTTCTACACTATAATTATTAAAACGATTTTGCTTAAATTTGGTACATTGGCAAAGTTTTATGTGACAATAAAATAAATATTTCTATCAAAATTATGATTAATATTAATCCATAGTTGTAAAACTTGATTTTTTAATATTTGTACATTTAAAATTTCTACGCCAATGGAACAAATGGGCTTGGGTATGAAATGATTGCGTAACTCATTTACTACAAAAAAGATACTCGATTACTTTTATAGTTTTGGCGAAATTTGTACTTTAGTAATTTGTAGTATTGGTTTCACAAAAAACATAGTGTTCCTCATTTTCATGTTTCATGCATATGAAGATTTAAAAGATGAAGAGGAAATGTAGGTTTTTGTATATCTCCCAACAAACAATTAACTGCCGGGAAATTGATGGCCTTTTGTAGCGATTGATGGGGAGTACATCTAGAACTCTGTCTAGATACTGTTGCCCCAAAATTCCCATCTGAATTCTTCTCTTATCAGTGACAGCTGTCAAAATATATTTTTCATTTTTCATTATAATATCCTAGTCAGTCTAAGTATTCCCTAGTCTGCAGGGAAGTCGGTAAATGTCCGAAAGGACAAGCATCATTATTGTGAAATCCTATGAAACTAAGTATACACAAAGACTTAAGAAACAATGCCGAGTCTCAATTAAGGTACCAATAGTTGAGAATATCGCAGTTGTACGCTCTCCCAACAGTTTCAAGGCAACATTGAAGCAAAGCAAACAATGCGCGAGTAAAAACACTATCACTAAAGTAACTACTAACCAGGGGTTCAGCTTTCCGGACCTTCAAATGAGCGCCAAACAGTTGTAAAGGCCACAGTACCTTAAAAAACCCAAAAAGAGGGGAATACACCTACAAGAAATGAGTCTATGGCTGATTTTAGTGAATCCTTGGAATTCCATGACAGCCACACCGACATAAACGAACACAACAAGTCCATAAAAGACCTCATAAATGTTTTAGAAGAGGCTAACGATTCTAATGAAAGTGTAGAAAGCACAATGGACACCTCTATAATAGAAAATACCAAGGAACCAGGTAAAAAATCACCTGTACATGATAACTTCTTCTCAGGATACAGCTCTGAGCCTATCAATTAAAATAGAGTCTACAAAACCCTATCTCTATCTTCAAATGTACCCATACCCACTGAACTTACAACTGGCAGTGTGGAAAACATTCAAACTAGGGGCGAACTGAGTAACTTCAAGTTTGGATATGTCCCCACACTGTCAGCTCACAGGAAAAGACACAGGTAGGCACAACAAAACCCCCTGCCACTAAGGGTGGTACAAGGGTGCGTATAAACAGTGATCCGCGCATCAGAATTGAAGTTAACAAAAGAGATATTTCTAAAAGTGTAGAAAAAAACATAATGCACTATGACTCCAACAGTCACACTTCTGAAGAAGAGCAAAGAAGTAGAATTACGAACCTCCCTCACTCCCCAAACAGTTTGTTTGAATTCAGAAACCATACTGAAGGAACCCTAAATGAGCAAGAAATGGCTAATAAAAACAACGACCCCCAAAGAAAACGAAGACGAAGATCCCTTCTATGTTCCCAGGAAATTTAGCTCAAGGAGAAAACCAAGAAAACACTTCTATCAGTAATAAATACCACGTTCTCAGAGATTCATCGGACACAGATACCGATGACGATATTGGAAAAATTGTGAGAAAAAGGAAAAAAGGGCTCAAATACAAACCATTAAACCTACACGAAAACCCAGACACAATTAATGCGAAAAATCCGACAGAAATTACAACGAAAGCTGGTAATACATCAAATAGGACAGAAAGAACCACAAATAATATAAACAAATACAATATGCCATCAATAGTGATTGATTTAAAGACAGCCAACCAAAATGTACTTATACAGGACTTAAAGGCAATCTTAAAAGGGGAATTCAGTGTAAAACACACGACTTACACAATAATTATATTCACCGAAAATAAAGACAATCACGCACAAGTACTGGTCAAAATAAAAAATGAACAGATGCCCTTCCATACATACACTTCTAGGGATGACAAATCACACACATTCGTTCTGCGGGGACTTGCCGAAGGAACAAAAATCTCCGACATCGAGGAGAACCTCGAGGAAGAGCATGATATAAAACCCTGTTCAATTTACCAAATGAAGACGAAGCAAAGACCCCTTATTTCTGGTAATAACCGATCCAGTATTGACACTGGACTACCTAAATAAAAATATACGCAGAGCTTTATACATTCGAGTCGCCTGGGAATTCCACTAAAATGATAGTACAATGCCACAATTGCCAGCAAAGGGGGCATGCAACTTCAAATTGCGACAGACCTTCAAGATGTTTGAAGTGCGAGGGTGATCACCATACGCTTATATGTGCAAAAACTACGGACACACCAGCTACCTGTGCCAATTGCGGGGGTTGATCACCCCGCAAACTACACAAAATGATTAAATTATACCACAAAATTTGAGAAAATGATGGACAGACGCCCGAAAACTAATCAGAAGTAAGTCCCCGTCCCCAAACCGTTAATCAACCAATGGTAGGCTAGACAATAAAACCGAATTTTACGTGAAGAATTCCCAGTACTCCCCACAAGAAATGAAAGAATTAACAAACAAATATGAAGAAATGAAGATGAAATCTCGAGACAAACGACCCCGGGCCTGGCCATGGACGATGGCTCAGCCCTTAATAATGAATTCGCGATATTGAACAGGTTGGTTAATATTGGTGAACTAACTAGACCAGTCAGAGCCCTGAATGACAAACTCAAAGACTGCATAACTGGACAACAAATAATAGAAACCTATAACGTGTTCATGGCTAACATTGACAGTAACTTCAATCTTAGGAACTAAACATATATATACAGCAGACAATACATTCAGTAAAGTCAATACAAAGACATTATAAAACACTTTTGTGACCATAAATGTTCTAACGGAAGCACTTTTTCTCGGATTTTTGTTCGCACCCCCTGCAGAGTGCGCATTCTGACAGCCCCATGGCTATGGAGATTCTTCCGTAGGTACTTGACAACGATCAGTCAGGATGCGCCTATGATCAGGCGCCTAGTCATGGTCAATTAATTGTATTGCATGTGGGAAAAGACATCAATGACCCATCGAAGAATTAAAGTTAAAGGGCAATTAATTACAAATTTCCACAGTTGCATGTGGAAACTAGTTAAAATCCATCAACGGGTTGTTCATATTTTACTCATACGAATTCATAGTTTTACCCACTCTATCACCTTAGTTCCTTGTACGAGTTAATACAAGTCATTTACAGAATGTGTTCTATAGATTTTTGGTCAAACTATTTCAAATAGGTGTACACCTATTGGCGTCTTTATTCTGGGACACAGTGTATAGTTTATTAGTACAAGAATAATCTATTGCAAGGAATTAATTAGAAAATATACTTACCAGAAAAAGTAGCCCAATAAAGAAAATAATTTGTTTTTCCTTTCGTTTCATCCATAATTTACAATGTTTCTTAATTGCTTGGTATTGAATCTTTTAGTAGGTGGATTGCAAAGTAGATTATTAAAATCCTAAAAACTGAAAATTCTGCATAATGATTTTGCTTAAATAAAATTAAAGTCAAAATAATTACTATAGCCGACACCTTTGATCACTTCTATTGATTACAAATATGTTTTAATTTTAAAACTTAATGTTTTTCTTACATTGTATTGAATTTACACTAATCTAGTTAATTGTATTTGAAAAACCAGTATCCGTAGGTACTGCTTTGCCCAAAACACATAGTAATTAATAAATTTAATAATTATTGACAATGCTACTCACATTTACTTAATGTTCTTATTTCAAATAAATGTATACCAGACTTCTGTTTTCGTTATGGGTAGGTGGTAAAAACATACCTGGCTATGGGTCTTTCTTTCTTTCTTAGCCCGAAAATTTACTCGAAGCACACCGAAGTGAGTAAAATCCGAAACAAAATTTGAAAAATTTCAAATTAAAATAATTCAACAGTAAACAAAAACGTTTAGGTATTTAACCTTTGTTCATTTAAACGTGATGTCATTATAACATTTATTGACAGTAGTAACATTGAGTGAAATACTTCATAAGAAAAAATGTATACAAAATATACAGTGTGTACAGAAAGTATGGAATAATACTTTTTTAATAATATATGGCTGATTTGAATAATACCTTTAGATAAAAATACAAGAAGATAAGGAGTTTGGTAAAATAAGCAGTTAAAATGTGAAAAATAACTCTTGGAAAGGGTTTGGAAAAGAAATTACAGAAATATATTTATATAAGTATAGGTATAATGATGTACCTATTTCTTTAAAAATGTTGAAAATTAGAAAGCATATATCTAATTTAGAAAGTAAATGAAAGCTAACTAAAGGATAGGACCTCAGCGTTGGTACTTTTTAATTTTTTTTAGGTATAAAATAATAAAAACAATCATAGATAAACATGAAAAAAACATTATAACATAAATTTAAGATATAATAGAGTAGGTGTTTTAAATATTATTAAAAAAAAATAATTAAAATTAAAAAATATAAAATGTGATTGTTATATTAGAAAATTTTTAGAACCTTGATTGAAAAGGTAATTAAAATAATTATACTTTTAAAAGGTATTATGTTATTTATTTTATTTTTATTTTTAATTATTTTTTCTTTTTTTTTATTTATTTGATCTTTAGACAGCTCACAGATGACCAAATCACTGATTACTCATTATGGAAAGCTTTTAAAAAAATTAACAAACCAAATCAACACATACCCCCAATACCTACATCGTCCAAATGGACTTTGTTTTGGTACAGGGGGGAAAAATAGTGTCCAGCATTTCTATTGGTCTGTTTCGTTTGTCCAAATTTATTTTCTGAAGAACATTGTTGAACATGAACTACCTCACTCATTTTCATTACTTATTTTAACTATATAGTACCGAAACCCCAACCAAATCGCATAAACTTTGAAGCTAAACTAAAGTGATTAGGTTAATCCCACACCAATACTACCCAGGGCCGGATGCTCCCGTGTTCAGTTTTCGTCTGCCATGCGCATTACGTCAATCATAGCCTGATTCTTATTATAAAGAGGAGAGTGCTTATTTTCTCTGTAACGTATTTATTATAACAGCTACAACAAAATGTTTAATACAAAAGAAGTTTATTAAGGTTGGAATCAGAAAAATATTCAAAAATATAACATTAATAATTTCATGTATCTTTACTTTACGCGTTACTTTCGCTGGAATTTTTGACACGAATCTTGCGGGAATGGTTTTTTATTTTAAGTTTATCTTTCCTCTTGCTAAGATGCAACCACTTGTTGCTAAGGTTAGGGCCGTCTCTGTTCCGACTAAGACACAACCTTCCTTCATGTTTAAAGCGAGACGATTTTTATTATAAATTGCAACAGACTATATTTTTGAATTAAATGATAGGGTGGATAAAGGGGAATTAAAAGAGAGGCAGATTTTTTATGTTATAACATTGAGTTAAAATTTAATCCTCTAGCAGTATATATACGTACAAACTTTGTCATTATAAATATTAAAAAAATTCAAAATCATTAATTATCTAAAATAACTAATTGTATAAAAGTTAAACTGAATTTTAGGTGTTACCAATATGTCAACTAAACACTACTTATTCATCTAACATATACTGAATCTCTTTGAAGCTTTTATTTTTAGTTTCTGGCACCATGATTACAACAAAAACGATTGAAATTAATGAAATTCCAGCAAATAATATAAAACAGCCTGACATGCCTATCGCATCAGATAGATAAGGAAAACCTAAAGTTACAACGAAAGCCATTGAAAAACAAACAAATGTTGATATACTTGCTGCTAAAGACTTTATATTACTTGCGAAAATTTCACCGCAAATAGTTAAAGGTAAAGTTCCAAAACCAAAATTATAAGATGAAAAAAATAAAATTAGACAAGCAAGAGGCAACCAAAATATTACATCAGTATCGATTTTATGGTCTTTCAGAAGGAAATAAGCCCCTAATAAAATTAACGATATAGAGCATCCTATATTAGATGCTAGTAAAAGCACCCTTCTACCTACTTTATCTACAGTAAAAGTTGCTACAACATTAGAAACTATTTGAAGTACACCAATAATAATAGAAGCTATATCAGAAGATATACTAGTTCCACATTCTGTGAAAATAGTTTGCATATATCCCATCACTGCAGAAATTCCAAGCAACTGTTGAAACGTCAATAAACTGCATGTTATAGTCAAACCTTTTCGAGCAGCTTTAGTTGTAAATAATTCCTTCCAATTGGTTTTTTTCTCTTTGTTTTCAGCAACTATTTCTACCATTTTGGTTAATTCGCTATCGACGTTTTCAGTAGTTCTTATTTTCTTTAAACATTTTTTCGCTGCTTCAATATTATTTTTTTCAATAAAGTAATAAGGACTTTCAGGTATAAAAGGAATAAATGTTAGATAAAATAAGGTAATAGGTATTAACTGGAGGTAAGCGAATAGTTGTATAGACACTAGAGGTCCAACAGCATAGGCGAAAGTGTATCCAGAAGCTCCTAAAATCCCCATCATGCATAATAACAATCCTCTGTTAGAATCTTCAGCTAGCTCACCAACGTAACTAGGCAGTACAGCTAAAGTGCACCCACCGCTAATACCAATTAAAAATCTGGAAACATAATATATTGAGACTGTTTTAGCTAGAGCAATTGCGATATATCCACCAAAAAATGGCACACTAAAAATTATCAACGTCATTTTTCTTCCCAATTTGTTTGAAACGAATCCGCAGAATAAAGTTCCAACCACACATCCGATTGATGGTAAAGATGCTATCCAGGATTCTTCGAATGTTGTGACTGGTCTACCGAGGGGATTCAAAGATGGATCGTCGCTTTTTAGTTTTACTAATGCTGGTGATGACCATGACATAGCGATTCCGGTTGCCATTGTTAAAATGTTAACTGCAACAAAAGAAAGTATGATGAAGAATTAGTATTATCTGATTATAGTAAGCAAGCCAATGATACATTTTTGGTTCACATTTTCGCAAGGCATAATTACAAATTTATCGTTCATTCTTGCTTTGTAGAAGAATAGGGTTGCCAGAGGACACGCTTTAGGCGTTTTTTCCAGGCTTTTTGACTTGCTTGTACGCTTAAGCCATAGTTCGAAAATATTCCGCTTTTGACAAAAATGCCACTCTTTGCAAATAAAAAGGGGGAACTGAATTTATAGAAAAATGTCAGGTGAAGACTTTTTTAGATAAATATCAATCAAAGGATTCCATAGAAATAGTATAGAAAGCCGATTCCATATATCAAAAATGAAACCATAAGGAGAAAATAGTGTGTCGGAGCTCATGCGTATAACGGTGCTGGCGCGAACAGGACCGGTGCAAGTTTTTTATTGATCGAACAAATAGTTCACACATTTCAATCATACATTTTTAGAGATGATTCTATACAAAAAACGATTAAAAAAATTTCAAGTTAAGGTAAATATGGTTCTGACAGTCCTTATTAAGAAAGATATGGCATAAAATATGAATTAGTTAATTTTCGGCAATCATTAGTACAGTAGTCATGAGATTTTGCTTGTGATTTTAAAAATACTTTCCAGAAAAACCACGTGCTCCGGTTTTGACTACGTTTATTATTAAACAGCGAAATTATATACAAAAACTTTAATCCACAATCTAAATTAGGTACTATCACAAGAAAATCACTGTTACAATAATTAATTACTTAACCAATAACTAAAATACTTTTTAGGTACCTACGTAACCAGAAAGGAGCTGGACCATTTATCCTAATATTGATTTTCTCTCTCCCTACGGTAAAACTTAAAACAATAACAAATTGCCTATCTACTAGGGTCGGTAACTAAACGAATATACATAATGGGCGGATTTTGTTTATACTTAACATTACACTCGCGCATTTAAATATAACTATGCATATAAATATTTACAAACAAAGATACTTTTCCAAACAGGCAATCATTAGTACTGTAGTCACGAGATTTTGCTTGTGATTTGACATCTTATTTGATAATATCATTTGCAACAACTAAATTTAATCTGGGGAGTGCAAAATAGGGCCCAGGAATATTATGTTCGATATTTTTTTAAATTTTGTCAGCCGAGACTATGAGTCGTTAGACAGAAAACCTTTCATGTTACCATTTTCAATATAAATTAAAAAATTAAAAAATACTACTACATTTACTTGGTACATATTTTATTTTAATTTTGAACCCTTTTAAAAGGGTCTTTCGGTTCCATAATAAAAATTAGTTGCTGCTTACTAGAAACATTCTATATAGCCTAAACCAATTTATAGTTTGTTTTCGATCAATTTAATACAAAGATTTAAAGTTTTTAGTCGATGATAACATTCCACACCAGCACATTGCAAACCTATTTTATAAATAATAGGAATAAACTTGTAAATCATTAATTTGGTAGTTATCTCACTCATATGATTTTTTTGTTTATATGACTATTTCGATTTCTAAATATATTTTGGCCTTACAATACGAAGCGTTTTGTATCTACCACTTTTTTAATGAACGATGAATGTTGACAGGCGTGTACCTTTTTCGGAACAAGAGGCGTTTTAACGAAGGAAATGATTTTCGAACTATCTAGTTAGTTTTCGGAAAAATAGAAAACGTTTGAAGAAAGTTGTCAATAACAGTTTGTCGTTCATGTGTTTCATTTTGATTAGCTTTCATACTAAATTGCGTAGAATATTTTTCCGATTCAAAATAGAGATTCTCGATATTTCCAGTTTATTTATAATACCTTCTAAACTGGATTTATCTATCATTTTATATACTTTATAATATATGTTCATGCCCTACTTTTCACTTTATTAACAATTTTTTTTTAACATACTTCAAAATGGTAGGATATTCTCAATTCGTTGAAATATTTTTTTAAGTACGTTGAGCGATAATTCTTTACCACGTTGCCCGATTTCTAGGATTCTTTTTGTTAGAAAAGGAAACAGTTTTATATACATTAAGTCAAGATCTGAAGATGGGATCCATAAGAAAATCATTATCATCTTTATTTTTAAAGTAGGTTTTTTTTTTAATTTCTTTAAACCTTACTGGTTCGAACGCGGTAAGGAATGAAGAAATGTAAATAATTGTTGTGCCAGCCAAAAAGCGAAGAGGAAGCACCGATTAAAATATCGAGTGACAAAAAAGTTCCTAAGATTGTTGAGATCGGGTTTATGTTTTAAAATGCCTTAAAACCGATATCGGTAATGTCTCCCCGTCGCTGGGCAGCCTGTATATAAATATACAGCTCTCTATTTACATAATTATAATTCTTAGGTAGGTTTAGATTTGCAGACATAAATCTTGTAATAAATATAACAGCTGCCTAATACATTGATTACATTTTCATTAGCCAATGTAAAAATGTCTTTTATTGTACCTAGGATTTGACTAAACACTACACAAAACTAAAAATAAAATGCCACTTTCATCATGTAATTAATGCCGCGTTTGAGAATCCACATCGGATGCATTTTTTACATCTCGAGCGTTTTTTATCCACATCGGACACATCTGTCCCATTACATTTACGTATACTGAATCACGTGATCAAAGATTTACTACTACTACTACTACATCTCAGATGCGGATTCTCAAACGCGGCATAAATAATAAACTACAAACGGTCCTGTAAGGGCAGCGTCATATAACCTTGAAACACCGGATTTTAGTGCTATTGCCAGGTCAATATTGAATTTGTAGGTGAATCGCTTATTGAACATTAAAAATACGGTATTAATGACATTAATACGGTATTTGTATATATTTTTGGGAATGTAATTACACATAAATATTATTAGTTGATTATTTAAATGTTTATAAGTTATTTTGTGGCGATATTTCGTAGATATAAACTGTTTAAATCATATAATTTAAAAATTAATTAATTTAAAATTCTTTTCTGTTAGGTATGTTTAATATATTTGGCAACACTACAGGGACAAGTCATGCATATTGCGCAAGCTTCTAGACACACTATTTTGCGATGTCAGGCGCAGAGACGCGTTTTTATGCACAGTAGATTTCAATTTCTGCTTAAATGTTATGTTTATATTGGTCTTCTATATTATTTCTATGAAGGATTCTCGTTTACGAAAGAAAAATCCAGGGTGAGGACCTTTTTTTTTAGATTATATTATTTGAATCTGATATTTTGTCGGCAAGATTGTCACGCTTTTCATTTCGTAAATGTGGCAACCCTATAGAAGATGGACATATTTTGCTGCAGTTGCACCAGTGGTGGAGTGCTCTATGACGATGTCCGATGTCCTAAAAAAGCCGTAATGTTGTAGAACAATCATAGTAATAATGTTGTTTCGGTTCTTTTTTCCATACAAAATCAGCACAAAATATTCAAAACACAATATACGACAAAATAACCCACTTTTTTGAAAACAGGCAATATACACAATTCAACAAGTCGTTGTGAATAAATTAATATGATTTTCTGTTTTGGCAATAAAAGTTATGCATATGCAACTAATATAAAATAGTAATTGGGATCTGAAGATAAGCGATACGCCCTCTACTGTGAACTAAATTTTGTTTATTGTTAATCAGGTCATGTCAATAAGTATTATTTTAAAATTTAACAAGTATTTTGTTTAACATACCTGATTTAATAATAAGCTAATGCTTGAGGGGCAAAATTCAAACTTACATGTGATGAAATGGTGCACCTTCTACCATGAAATCAAAAACACCCCAAGGGTCATCTCATCGGAGACGAAGACATGGGAACCCTAAAGGCCAAATCAATGAGGATAAGCTATGCATTCACAGACTATAAGGCCAAAGGTCGAAAAAGAGGCTGAAGCAGAGCCCAGTGAAGACTTCTTGGTAAAGGACCCTCTTCCCCCCCAATGTAAGCCAACAGTGAAGGACGTCGAGCCAGAAAAAATGTCAATCGTTGACCTTCAACAAGAAAACTCCAAGGAGCCACAAGAGACCATCTTCTCCCCACTTTCGGAGAAAGGCATGGTCGAATAAATAACCACCTTGCTGCCCAATTTTCAACGGAGGACCGGGAAGCAGTAAAAGAGGTAACGATCATAAAATGTAACTTGCCGCACAAAAGGGTGGTTACGGCAACATTATGAGCTGCAAGATACAATAGTACTCATCCAGAACACCCTAGATAATAAAAACCAAAATTTTAGGTCTTAAAAATCTAAATGGTTCAATTTTTAGTTTTCCCAGCAACCAGCAAACTAGGACAGCCATTTACATTCCGAGGAAATACAAAGTCCACTCAATGGCATACCTTTTCACCTCCGATTTAACTGTGGTTTGGATAGAATACGCCATTAAAAGAGAAAAGAGAACGTTAATCCTGGCATCTCCTCCGACGCAACCATGCCACCAACCAGTAAAGAGATGGAGGATCTGATTGAATACTGCCTGGAACAGAAGTTTGAGCTGGTAATAAATTGCGACTCAAACGCACATCACTTCAGTTGGGACAGTAAGGATAACAACGCTAGAGGTAAGTCACTTTATGATTATATAATTACCAAAAATCTTTGTATTCTAAATAAAGGTACCACACCAACATTTTTAAACTCTGGCAGTCAAACACTAATAGATATCACTTTATTCACAACTGGTATCTATAAATCAATTCGAATCTGGCAAGTGTCTAATAACATTTCGATACCAGATCACCGCTGGTTAACATTCAAAATAAACTTGATTTTGCCAACCTCCACGCTATCTAGGAACCCTATGAAAACGGACAGCCAAGAGGCTCTAAGAGAGTTGGAGGCCGAAATACCAAACAATAATACTGCTTTGGAAAAGTACACGAACACTATCCAAAGCACAATAAATCCTGTCCTTTAAGGCTGGTCCAACACTATTAGACGATGAGGTTGGTCCAA